CCCCCTCCTCCTCCGCCTCCGCCTCCGCCTCCGCATCCCCCTCCTCCTCCTCCTCCTCCGCCTCCTCACCCCCCTCCTCCTCCGCCGCCGCTTCCTCCTTCTCCTGCTCCTCCTCCTCCTCCTCCTCCTCCTCCTCCTCACCCCCTTCCTCCTCCTCCGCCTCCTCCTCCTCCTCCTCTGCCTCCTCCTCCTCCCTCCTCCTCCTCCTCTCCTCCTCCTCCTCCTCATCCTCCTCCTCATCCTCCTCCCTGTCCTCCTCCTCCTCTTCCTCCTCCTCCTCCTCCTCTCCTCCTCCTCCTCCTCCTTCCTCCCCACCTCATCTTCCTCCTCCTCCTCATCCTCCTCCTCCTCCTCCGCCTCCTCATCCTCCTCCTCCTGTTCTCCTCGTCCTCCTACTCCTCCTCCTCCCCCCCTCAACCTCGTCCTCCTCTCTCGTCCTCCTCTCCCTCCTCTTCCTCCTCCTCCGCCTCCGCCTTCTCTCCTCCTCCTCCGCCTCCGCCTCCTCCGCCTCCGCCTCCGCCATCTCCTCTCCTCCTCCGCCTCCCCGCGTCCTCCTCCTCCTCCTCCTCCTCCTCCTCCTCTCATCCTCCTCCTCCATCATCTCCTCCTCCTCCTCCCCATCTCCTCCCTCAGCCGTCCTCCTCCTCTCATCCTCCCCTCCTCCTCTCCTCTCCTCCTCCTCCTCCTCCTGCTGCTCCTCCTCCTCGTCCTCCTCCTCCTCCGCCTCCTCCTCCTCCTCCTCCCCTCCTCCACCTCTCTTCCTCCTCCTCCTCGCTTCCTCTCCTCTCTCCTCCTCCTCCTCCTTCCTCCTCCTCCTCCTCCTCTCCTCCCCGCCTCCCTCCCCCACCCCCTCCCCCCTCCTCCTCCGCCTCCTCCTCCTCCGCCTCCACCTCCTGCTGCTCCTGCTCCCTCCTCCTCCTCCTCCACGTCCTCCTCCTCCTCTTCTTCATATTATTCTTAGTGTTCGTCTTCTTCCTCTGATTATCATTATTATCATTAGTATTACTATTAGTATTCGTATTCGTCTTAGTATTCTTCTTTCTTATTCGTCTTATTATTCTTCTTCGTTTATCTTATTCTTCTTCGTCTTCTTCTTCTTCGTCTTCTTCTTCTTCTTCTTCTTCTTCTTCTTCCTCCTCCTCCTCCTCCTCCTCCTCCTCCTCCTCCTCCTCCTCCTCCCCCGCCTCCTCGCTCCTGGCGCCTCGCGCCTCGCTCATGGATCCGTGATCCTCGCTCCGTCCCAGCTGCTTCGTCTTCGTCCTCCTCCTCATCCGGCTCCTCCTCATCATCATGATCCTCCTCATCAGCATCGCCTTCAGCTTCGGCATCAGCTTCAGCTTCAGCTTCGACTTCAGCATCAGCATCATCATCATCATCATCATCATCACCACCACCACCATCATCATCACCATCATCATCCTCAGCAGTATCATCATCATCATCATCAGCATCATCATCATCATCATCATCATCATCATCATCATCATCATCATCATCCTCAGCATCATCATCATCATCATCATCAGCATCAGCATCATCAGCATCATCATCATCATCATCATCATCATAAACAACATCATCATCATCATCAGCAGCCTCATCGTCACCATCACCATAATCATCGTCATCATCATCATCATCATCATCATCATCATCATCATCAGTATAATCATCATCATCATCATCACCATCACCATCATCAGCATCATCAGCATCATCAGCATCATCATCATCAGCATCATCATCAGCAACATCATCATCATAATCAGCATCAACATCATCGTTATCAGTATCATCAACATCATCAGCAACATCATCTTAATTACCAGCATCATCATCATCAGCATCACCAGCATCATCATCATCATCATCATCAGCAGCAGCATCATAACCACCATCATAATCATCATCATCACCACCACCACCACCATCATCATCATCATCATCATCATCACCATCATCATCATCAGCATGATCATAATCCTCATCATAACCAGCAGCATCATCAGCAGTAGCTATACCATCAGCATCATCACCACCATCATCAGAATCATCATCAGCAGCATCACCCTCATCATCATCAGAATCATCAGTATCATCAGTATCATCATCATCATCAACATCATCATCGTCATCATAATCCAGATGGTCCTCCCTCTCATTCTCCTCCTCCTCGCTCATCTCTCTCGCCCACCGCTCCTCCGACACAGCGTCCTCGTCCTCCTGTTCGTCTTCCGCCTCCCACTCCTCGAAGCTCGCTCCTCGCTTCTCCACCTCATCTTCCTCTTCCTCCTCCTCCTCTTTCTCCTTCCTGTCCTCTTTATACTCCTCATCCTTATGCTGTTACTCCTCCTCATCCTCCTCGTCCTCCTTCTCCTCCTCTTCCTCCTCGTCCTCCTCCTCCTTATCCTCCTCTGCTCCCGCCTTTTCCTCCTCCTCCTCTGCCTCCTCCGCCTCCTCCTCTTACTCATGTTCGTTCCTCGTCCTGCCCTCCCCTGATCATCCGCCCCCTCAGCAACCACATCCTCCTACTCCTCCTCTTCGTATTATAATTCGGATTATTCTCTAACGCTTAGTAATATTATTCATGTCCGTATTGGTAGCATTCGCCTTCTTATGATTAGTCTTGAAACTAGCATTGTGATTATCACTCGGTGCATTCGCATTAATGCTCGCAGATAACTTAGTTGTATTAGGATTAGTTTCATCATTACTATTTTTAGTATTACTTTTATTCGGAGATTAGGGGGTGAATCCGACGTGAAACGGAGACCCCCCCTGGGCTCCTACTGGGAGATCAATTTCGGTTTCGGGTTCGTGTCGTGCGTGCCGTGCGTGGGTGCGGGCGAGGCGAAGCTGCGTGGATGGGCGAGAGGAGATCCTCATGTGGCTGGGCCGCGGCCAAACCAAACGTAACTCCTCCGGCGGCCGGTGCCGCGCGGTGTCCCGCCGGTGTCCCGCGGGTGTCCCGAAATCCTCCTGTGGCTGGGCCGCGGCAAGACCAAATGTTTTTCCTCCGGCGGCCGGTGCCGCGCCGTATCCCGCCGGTGTCCCGCTGGTGTCCCGAGGTGTCCCGTGGTGTCCTATGAAGTCCCGTTGACTGAGATTGATGGTGAGATCGATAGTGAGATCGATGTGGTGCCCCGGGTGTCCCGTGGTGTCCCGTGGCGTCCCAAAAAAGGAGATCGATAGTGAGATCGACAGGTGTCCCGTGGTGTCCCGTGGTGTCCCAAAAAGTGAGATCGATAGTGAGATCGATAGTGAGATCGATAGTGAGATGGATGTGGTGCCCGAGGTGTCCCGTGGTGTCCCGCGGTGTCCCAAAAAGAGAGATCGATAGTGAGATCGATACTGAGATCGACAGGTGTTCCGTGGTGTCCCGTTGAGTGAGATCGATAGGGAGATCGATAATGTGATCGATGTGGTGTCCCGAGGTGTCCCGTGGTGTCCTATGAAGTCCCGTTGAATGAGATTGATAGTGAGATCGATAGTGAGACCGATAGTGAGATCGAGAGGTGTTCCGCGGTGTCCCGTGGTGTTCCGTTGAGTGAGATCGATAGTGAGATCGATTGATTCAGATGTTGGTTCCCACCTCTCCCCCCCCCCACAATCTCCTTATTACCCGAAGGGTGGTCGTATAGGCATTATTGTTCGTAGTCTTCTTCTGAATAGTACTATGAGTCCTGATATTATTATTTGGTTGCGTAGTAACACTCATAGTATTCTGATTAGTAGTGGTAGATTTGTTGCTGCTCGCCTTCGTAGTATTATTCGTCGTCTTCGTACCTGTCTTACCCTTCGTATCGTTAGTATTCGTATGAAAATGATTAATGCTCGTCGTCTGTTTCTTCGTCTTCTTCTTTTTCTGCTTCTTATTCCTCCTCCTCCTCTTCCTCCTCCTCGTCATCCTCATCCTCCTCCTCGCTCCGCCTCCGCCTGCGCCTCCGCCTCCGCCTCCTCCTCCTCATCATCTTCCTCCTCCTGGGTGTTCGTTGAGATATTGTGGGTGGTCCCTTCGGGTGGCCGTTTCAAAGCCTCCTGGGGGCCGTTTTGAGGCCTCTCTGGGGCCTCGCTGGGGCCTCTTGGTGGCCGCTGGGGGCCTCTTGGGGGCATCTTGGGGCCTCCTGGGGGCGTGGGACCAATTGCCCAAAAAGTCCGTTCTGGTTACCCCGTCTGGGCCACCTCCGGGACCCATCCTGGGGGCCTCTCGGGCCGTCTTGGAGGCCGTTTGGGCCGTCTTGGGGCCCTCCTGGGGCAGTCTTGGGGCGGTATGGGGGGCCCCTTGGGCCGTCTTGGAGCGTCGAGAAGCCGAAAAGGCGATAACACCAGAAACCTTCAAAATTCATAGACCAATCAATGATGTTTTCATATTTGGGCCCTCTTGGGACGCCTCTTGGGGCGCCTTGGCCTCTTGGATTGTCATGGAGGCCTCTTGGGCTGCTTTGGCGGCATCTTGGACGAAAAAGGAGGCCTCTTGGTTCCTCTGGAGCCGTCTTGGAGGCCATCTTGGACCATCCTGGGCTATCGTAAGGTCACCAGAGGCCTCTCGGGGGGGAGCGTTTGCCATTAGATCTGGGTGTCCGCCTGCCGCCTCCCTCGAACTCCCCCATAGTTGAATTTCGCCCGGCGAATGGATCGCACGCTACGCGCGCTTTCCGTCATCTGTGTATGTGTGTATACACCTGTACATGATAGAAGTCGGAGCCTGTCGAGTAGAAAAAAACCATTAGCGAACACTTTGAAACCAGTAATGGGTCCGCCTGCTCCTCCATCTCTGCTCACCTTGTCTGACACTTCCCCGTCCTCACAGATGCAACTCCACAGAAATCAGCATCTGTTTCGTCGTCTCCTAGCCACGCCGACGACAACGACATCGACAAGGACGACGACGACAACGACGACGACGAGGCTGACGACGACGACGACGACGACGACGACGACGACGACCACGAGACCGACAACGACGGCGGCAGCGGCAGCGACGACGACGGCAGCCGTGCCTGCAAGACCGCCGCCAGCGAGGCCAGCCAGCCAGAGGCGAGCAGCGCCTCCAGCCGCCGCTGTCGGTTAAGGAGCAGCACACGCGAGGAGGAACGGAGGAGGGGATGGACATGATGTGGGCCATGCGGCAGAGCGAAGAAAAACACATTGGGCAGGGACGGGTACAAAAAGATATTGGCGAAAGACCCAGTCATACTCAGTTGTGAGTACCGCAGGACAGGCAGGCAGGACGATCGAAGGGGAACTCCCTATGGGGCCGCGAACCGCGTGCGACGGGCGAACCGCGTGAGGGATGTGCCAACATGGTGCGGGTACCGCATGCGGGCTGCGGGGAGACGCATGCGATGACGGCCGCTGTGGCCTGCGGTGGAGCTCCTTGTGGGGCCACGAAACGTGTGAGGGGTGTGCAACATTTCCCCCTAGAACTGTTTCTGAAGGTCCCCTGTGCAAGGGGGCGGGCCCCACACACCCAAACAGCGAGAACCCGGTAACTTGCACAAATCAGATAAGACAAAAACGACGAACTAGGAAACAAGATGAGCATAGAGGACCTATAGGGAGGACAGGGAATCTTCCAATGTTTCCTCTCCCGCCGCCAGAGAGGGAGCCCTTTGAGGGTGTCTGACTGGCAATGCCAAGCGGGACAGGGAACCTTTTTCAGGGTCCCTCTCCCGCCCTCCACCTCCTCCTCCACCTCCTCCGCCTCCTCCTCCTCCTCCTCCTCCTCCTCCTCCTCCTCCTCCTCCTCAGGTGTGGCGTGGAGCCTCCTACAGGGCCACAATCCTCGTGAAGAGTGTACAGAAATGGGTGCGGCGCCGCCATGCAACCCCTGCCACTGGGGCCTGCTGTGGAGCTCCCTTCGGGGCGACGATCATCGTGAAGGGTGAACCGACATGGGTGCGGCACCGCCATGCATGCCACTGGAGCCTTCTGTGGAGCCCCCAACGGGGCCACGATCCTCGTGAGGAGTGTACCGAGATGGGGGCAGAGCTGCCATGCAACCCCTGCCACTGAAGCCGTCTGTGCAGCTGCTTTGGGGGCCACGATCTTCGTGATGGGTATACCGAAATGGATGCGGCACCGCCGTGCAAACCCTGTCACTGGAGCCTGCTGTGGAGATCCCTACGGGGCCACGATCCTCACAAGGGGTGAACCGAAATGGGTGCGGCACCGCCATGCAACACCTGCCACTGGAGCCTTCTGTGGAGCTCTCTACGGGGCCAAGATCCTCGTGAGGGGTGTACCGGAATGAGTGCGGCGCCGCCGTGCAACCCCTGCCACTGGAGCCTTCTGTGGAGCTCCATACGGGGCCACGATCTTATACGATCTTCGTGAAGGGTGAACTGAAATGGGTGCGGAGCCGCCATGAAACCCCTGCCACTGGAGCCTTCTGTGGAGCTCTCCTCGGGGCTGCGATCCTCGTTAATGAGAATGATGTTGTTGTTGATGATGACGATAATGACGATGACGATGACGATGACGATGATGATGATGATGATGATGATGATGATGATGATGATTCTGATGATGATGAGTATGATGCTGATGATGATGGCGATTATGATGGTGATGATGCTGATGATAATGATGATGATGATGATGATGATGATGATGATGGTGGTGATGATGATGATGATGACCATGATAACGATGGTGATGATGATGCTGCTGATGATGATGCTGATACTGGTGATGATGATGCTGATGATGGTGATGATGCTGAATATACTGCTGCTGATGATGATGATAATGCTGATGATAATGCTGATGCTGATAATGATGATGGTGATGGTGATGATGATGATGCTGATGATGATGAGGATGGTGATAATGAGGAGGAGGACGATGATGACGATGGTGATGATGATGCTGCTGATGATGATGCTGATACTGGTGATGATGATGCTGACGATGGTGATGATGCTGAAGGTACTGCTGCTGCTGCTGATGATGATGATGGTGGTGGTGGTGATGGTGGCGATGCTGATAATGAGGGTGATGATGATGATGATGGTAGTAATGATGATGGTGACGATACTGATGCTGATGAGAATGCTGATGACGATGATGCTGACGATAATGACGATGATGATGATGATGATGATGATGATGATGCTGATAATGACGATGACGATGAGCATGATGATGGTGGTGGTGATGATGGTGATGAGAGCGGAGAGCAGAGGCAGGGAAGAGAAGAAGAGGAGGAAGGAAAAAGAGGGACGCTGGGCGATGTTGAGTTAACCGTCACTTCCCAATGCGGAGCTGCGACCCCCCTGGGCAGTCCATGGTTTGGTCGCACTATGCGGCATAGGGCATAGTCTATGCCCTATGCCTTCAGATCCAGGAATCCCCAACAAAAACCGAGACGGAGGAGGAGGCGGAAGAGGAGAAGGAGGAGGACCAGTGTAAACCTAAGACGCATCAGCAATAATGCAATAAGCCCCCCCTTCGAGTTCCCTCTGCACGGGGACCTACAAGAACATTTTCATTGCAGGA